ATTTTCCAAAAAAATCAAATCCTTCATCTAATATTTCGATGCACATTTAACATTAAAAATTGACAATCCACAGCAATGACAAAAATTGAACTCACAGCTTTCTCCCAGTACGGAAAGTTCTTCGGTACCTCGGCCTTGAACCTGTTGAAAGCGCAAGTGGATCGGCCGGTTACGAAAGAAAAGGAAAGGGATAGCTCGATGAGGCCCCGAAGAAACGGTTTTTGGTCGTGTTCGACGAAAGTGAAACGGCCTTCGGTCGAACGAGGCTTCTGCGTGTACACGGACGCCACTGAACTAGTGACCTTCATACGAGAACCGGTCTTTGTTCACGGTCCTCGGAGCCACCGACCTGGTCTTGCCCTCGCCACGCTAGCCTCCTTTCTTAGACACCTCGATTTGCATATCCCGTCGGTCGATCCGAACATTTTGCCCGCTTCCTGGACCGATTTCGGCCCATGAACTTTTATCGATGACGTGGATGATTAATCGATCTGACGTTGTACGATCGGTTGGGAATCGTTGACTCATGGGTATGGGATACGTGTTGTCGGGGATATAACGTTGTTGAGGGTGTATGAGGTTGTCAAGGTTGTAACGTTGTTAAGGGTGGGTAACGTAGTTGAGGATGTATAACGTAGTCAGGGATATAATGTAGAGAAGGATATAACGTTGTGGGTGTATGACATAGTGAAGTATATAACGTAGTTGAGGGTGAATAACGTAGTCAAGGTTATAACGTAGTTAAGGGTGTATAACGTAGTCAAGGATATAATGTAGAGAAGGATATAACGTAGTTGTGGGTGTATGACATAGTGAAGTATATAACGTAGTTGAGGGTGCATAACGTAGTCAAGGTTATAACGTAGTTAAGGGTGTATAACGTAGTGGAGGATGTAACCTAGTTATGGGCAAAATATCGTAGTGAAGGATATACGTAGTTAGAGGTATATAACGTAGCGAAGGATATAACCTAGTCATGAGTGAATAACGTAGTTAAGGATATAACTTAGTCAAGACTATATAACGTAGTCAAGGATATAATGTAGTGAAGACTATATAACGTAGTCAAGGATATAACGTAGTGAAGACTATATAACGTAGTCAAGGATATAACGTAGTGAAGACTATATAACGTAGTCAAGGATATAACGTAGTGAAGACTATATAACGTAGTCAAGGATATAACGTAGTGAAGACTATATAACGTAGTCAAGGATATATATATAACGTAGTCCGTAGTCAAGGATATAACGTAGTGAAGACTATATAACGTAGTCGAAAATACGTAGTTAAGGGTGTATAACGTAGTGGAGGATATAACTTAGTTATGGGCAAAATAACGTAGTGAAGGATATACGTAGTTAAAGGTATATAACGTAGCGAAGGATATAACCTAATCATGAGTAAATAACGTAGTCAAGGATATAACGTAATCAAGACTATATAACGTAGTCAAAAATATAACATACTTAAGGCTACGTACACGTGGACAATAAGGGTTAGGTGACATTTTTGGATACCTATCTGGAGCGAAGATGAAAAACTATATTCAGATAATTAACTTGCTGTATGATTTATCAGTGCGTCAGGACTAGTCTCAGCTGCAATATTAAAACGAAGAAAGTCGATCAAATGTTATGATTACATAATTGCCTATTATACATTCCTTTACTGTGCAAAATATTGGACTTGAATTGCATATTAAAAGATATTCAAAATTCAAGTAAAACTGATGATAACTGAAGTACGAGTGCGTCACGTGTATTAGAAGTATGCTACGAATAACTCAAGTGCGTCATGAGTGCGTCAACAGTGTCATTATTACGTCACAGGTATGACCAGTGTGTCATCAGTGCGTCATAAGTGCGTCACGAATATTAGAAGTATGTCACAAGTATTACAAGTGCGTCACGAGTGCGTCACGAGTACCACAAGTGCATCATGAGTATCGTAAGTGCGTCATGGAGGCGTCACAAGTGCCAGAAGTGCGTCATAAGTGTGTCACAATTATCAGAAGTGCGGCGTGAATGCGTCATGAGTATCAAAAGTGCGTCGTGAATGCGTCATGAGTATCAAAAGTGCATCATGAGTGCGTCACGAGTATCACAAGTGCATCATGAGTGCGTCGTGAGTATCAAGAGTGCGTCACCACTGCGTCATGAGTATCAGAAGTGCGTCATGAATGTCAGAAGTGCATCATGAGTGCGTCATGAGTATCAAGTGCATCATGAGTGCGTCACGAGTATCACAAGTGCATCATGAGTGCGTCGTGAGTATCAAGAGTGCGTCACCACTGCGTCATGAGTATCAGAAGTGCGTCATGAATGTCAGAAGTGCATCATGAGTGCGTCATGAGTATCAAGTGCATCATGAGTGCGTCACGAGTATCACAAGTGCATCATAAGTGCGTCACGAGTATCAGAAGTGCGTCACCAGTGCGTCATTAGTATCGGAAGTGCGTCACGAGTGCGTCACGAGTATCACAAGTGCATCATAAGTGCGTCATGAGTATCAGAAGTGCGTCATCAGTGCGTCATGAGTATCAGAAGTGCGTCCCGAACGTCAGAAGTGCATCATAAGTGTGTCATGAGTGCGTCACGATTGTCACAAGTGCATCACGAGTATCAAAAGTGCGTCACCAGTGCGTCATGAGTGTCACAAGTGCGTCGCCAGTGCGTCACGAGTATCAAAAGCTTATCACCAGTGCGTCATGGGTATCATCAGTGCGTCACAAGTGTCACGAGTGCGTCATGAGTGCATCATGAATGCGTCACGAACCAGTATACTGCTCTACAGCTTCTTGTGGACATATTGAACTACTATAATGATTTATAACTATCTTCTGAACATGAACTACTATATTGAACACGTAATTCGATATACCACCATATAGCTGCCCACACTCAAAGAACATTAAACATCCTTATTCAAAAGAGTTGCGCGCTACCATTTCGCAAAACACTTACCCTCGTCCTACTCCGTGATCCCGCAAAGTTTGAAGAAAATCGAGGCCTCCAAGATCGTATCTCTCTCAAGAGAGAGTCGACGAACCAGTACGCAACAATCGAAACCGTCACCTTGCGAGATAAAGAACATCAGTAATTTTTCCCGACTTCTTTATCTCCTCCTATTCAAGCTCCGTCCTCTTCCATCCCGCTATATCACGTATCACTATTTCCGTCCTTATCTCGCACCAAGTTGGATCACCGGCTCTGACCTTCTCGCCCCCCTCTCTAGCTCTATTCTAACCCATGCGTGCTACAACACGCTTCTTGTCCCTAACCTAATACAACGAGAGTCGCGTTGAGCCACACTGCAAGCCACATTCAGACCGGTTTGATGATTCAGGTTCATCTAGATCTAAACAACTACGACCTCGGGACACGTAATACGTTGGGTCGCGGACTCGCGGACATACGTGAGATTACCCCCTGGGAGAATGGCCGGAATAATGCCGTAGTCTGCATAGATTTCAAGCTTTTGGGACTTGGAAGCTGGGAAATTCTTGCGAATGTGTTGATGGAAAGTGGAGGGTAGTTTTGGTATTGGATCGTGGTGGGCTTTGGTATGAGTGCGAGAGGAAGGGTGGGGGGTTTAGGGTGAGAGGAAGATAGAAGTGTGGGATGAAGATAGTAATTTCTGAATTTTCAAATTGAGAAGTTTGTAATTTGACATTTTTAATTTGTTAAAATTTTTACTTTGCAAATTTTCAAAATTGAGAATTTCAAATGAGAAGTTTTCCACTACACGAATTTTCAAAATTGCAAATTTCAAATTTGGGGAGTTTGGAATTTGGGGAATTTGGAATTTGGGGAAATTGGAATTTGGGGAATTTGGAATTTGGGGAATTTGGAATTTGGGGAATTTGGAATTTGGGGAATTTGGAATTTGGGGAATTTGGAATTTGGGGAATTTGGAATTTGGGGAATTTGGAATTTGGGGAATTTGGAATTTGGGGAATTTGGAATTTGGGGAATTTGGAATTTGGGGAATTTGGAATTTGGGGAATTTGGAATTTGGGGAATTTGGAATTTGGGGAATTTGGAATTTGGGGAATTTGGAATTTGGGGAATTTGGAATTTGGGGAATTTGGAATTTGGGGAATTTGGAATTTGGGGAATTTGGAATTTGGGGAATTTGGAATTTGGGGAATTTGGAATTTGGGGAATTTGGAATTTGGGGAATTTGGAATTTGGGGAATTTGGAATTTGGGGAATTTGGAATTTGGGGAGTTTGGAATTTGGAGAACTTGGAATTTGGAATTTGGGGAGATTGGAATTTGGGGAATTTGGAATTTGGGATTTGGGGAAATTGGAATTTGGGGAATTTGGAATTAGCAGAATTTTGAATTTGGGGAATTAGGAATTTGGAGAATTCAGAGTTCAGGGAGCTTGGAATTTGGGGAATTTGGAATTTAGGGAGTTTAGAATTTGGGGAATTTGGAATTAGGGGAATTTGGAATTTAGGGAGCTTGTAATTTAGGGAATTTGGAATTTGGGGAATTTGGAATTTAGGGAGTTTGGAATTTGGGAAATTTGGAAGTAGGGGAATTTGGAATTTGGGGAATTTGGAATATGGGGAGTTTGGTATTTGGGGAATTTGGAATTTGGAAAATTTGGAATTAGGGGAATTTTGAATTTGTAGAATCTGGAATTTGTGAAATTTGGAATTAGGGAAATTTGGAAATTAAGAAATTTGAAATTTTTGAATTTTGGGAATTTGAAATTATGAAATTCTAGAATTCTGGAATTTTTTATTTCTGTGCCTTAAAGGTATTGAAACTTTGAGACTTCAACATCTAGGTACCCTAGATTACTAAATTCCCCAAATCATCCAAGTCTGCGTCCAACTACGCCCATCATAATTACCCACATATTCCCCCGTCACACACCCTTAAACACACCATATATTTCTCGCAACCACTCACAAATGACTTCCGTAATATTCAAATTCTCAAAGTCTCTCTCAAATCTCCAAGCAAAGAATCGAAGAGTACTTACAAACATTTTTCAGCCATGAGAACATCTGTACAGTTTGAAGAGGCTCTTTGGAGGTTGAACGAATACAAGCCACATCCGTCTGGTTCCTGACATCAATTCCAGAAACGAATCCCCTCTGACGGTGTTGAGACACGGAAGAATGGATTATAATAAGTATAATAGCGTGGACATTAAACCCCTTCTGAGTTTCGTCCAAGGATCCGCTTAGACGGAGCTAGGCGGGCGTTGTAGGTCATCTGACGAAGGTCAAGGTCTTCGTTGTAGAGGAGTCTAGTTTTGGATGCTGGTTCTTGTACATTTGTAACGTGAAATAGGGGGACGGGTATTTTTGGGGAGGGGATTGGTATATGGGGATTTTTGGGTGGGAGGAGTTCGGGGAATTGGGGATTTAGGCAGTTGGGAAATTAGGGAGTTGGGAAATTAGGGAGTCGGGGAGTTAGGGAGATGAGGATTTAGGGAGTTGGCAAATTAGGGAGTAGGGGATTTAGGGTGTTGGAAAATTAGGGAATTGGGAAATTAGGGAGTTGGGGATTTAGGGAATTGGGAAATTAGGGAGTTGGGGATTTAGGGAGTTGGGGATTTAGGGAGTTGGGAAATTAGGGAGTTGGGGATTTAGGGAGTTGGGGGATTTAGTGAGCTGGGAAATTAGGGAGTTCAGAAATTAAGGAGATGAGGATTTAAGGAGTTGGGGATTTAGGAAGTTGGGAAATTACCGAGTAGGGGATTTAAGGAGTTGGGAAATTAGGGAATTGAGAAATTAGGGAGTTGAGAAATTAGAGAGATGAAGATTTAGGGAGTTGGCAAATTAGGGATTTGGGAAATTAGGGAGTTGGGGATTTAGGAAGTTGGCAAATTAGGGAGTTGGGGATTTAGGGAGTTGAGAAATTAGAGAGATGAAGATTTAGGGAGTTGGGAAATTAGGGAGATGAGGATTTAGGGAGTTGGGGATTTGGTGATTTGGGAATTTGGGGATTTAGAGATTTAGAGATTTGGGAATTTGAAGATTTAGGAATTTGGGGATTTGGAAATTTGGAAATTTGGAGATTTGGAGATACAAGAATTTAGAGATTTGAGAATTTTGGAATTCAGGAATTTGATATTATAAAAATTTGAGTTGTGGTAAACTTGAAATTTGGAATTTTGAATTTTAGTTAGTTGGAAAATAGAAAATTGGAAATTTGGTGATTTGCAGATTTGCAAATTTGGAAATTTGAGTAGCAGAATAGTTGTGATTTGAAATTTGCAATTTTGGAAATTTGAGTACTAGAAAACTTGAAATTTGTAATTGTCATATCTCAAAAATCCCCAAAACCTCAAACCTCCAAAATTCTCAAAACCTCAACCCTCCAAAATTCACAAAAATCCCTAAAACCGCAACCTTCCAAAATTTACAAAAATCCCCAAAACCTTAAACCTCAAAAATCCCCAAAACCTCAAACCTCCAAAACCTCGACCCACTAAAATTCCCTAAAATCCCCGAAACCTCAAACCTCCAAAACCTCGACCCTCTAAAATTCCCTAAAATCCCCGAAACCTCAAACCTCCAAAACCTCAACCTTCCAAAATTCCCTAAAATCCCCAAAAGTCCCCTGATCCTCAAACCCCTAAAAATCTGCAAAAATCCCCAAAACTGTAAACCTCCCGCAAAAAAAATCTGCATAAACCATCAGCAGCAAACGCATCATGAACGATCCTCTCGCGTTCGATCCCCGATGAACGGCGATAAAAGCAAAGTTTCCGACGGGTCGTTCAGCTCCATTTTCGCAAGAAACATATAACGCAGGTTGAATAGAGTGGCCGGCGAAGCTGTGAAGAGAGGATGCGATGAATCGAGGGAGTCGAGGAGTGTCTGGCGCGAGGGACCATTTCAAAGAGCTCGTCAAAGAGCCTCGCTGATCCGGGAGTACTCTTGGCTAGGTACGCCATTGCACCGAGATAGATGGATAGTTATAGCGAGTGCGTCGAAGCGGGATGCGGGGGCTGATCGATAAAAGCGGCACTCGGGTTCACGAGCCTCATTCAAGGACAAGGCCATGAGATAGCGGCCGCGGTTGCGCACTCAACCACCCCTGCCTATCGGCTGGTCGTTTGCCTCACCGCTGTATCTACTGTCTTTGGCGCCCTGCGCTTAGTTGAATCTTCTCACGAAATTTTTATTTTTATTTTATTAAGCATTGAAACATCCCTGCTTATTGGCTGGTCGTTTCTCACCTACTTACGGTGTCCTGCTCTTATTCGAATTTTCTCATGACATTTTAATTTTCATGCAAGTAATTCGGAATTGTTACAAATTTCAGTTTTGTTATGAACTATTGATGATAGGATTTTTTACTGCAAATTTTAATTTTTTTATGAGCAGTTGATGAAAGGACTTTTGACTGCAAATTTTTATTTTTATGTAGGCAAGTGATGAAAGGATTTTTTGTTACAAATTTTAATTTGGTTATGGGCGATTGATGAAAGGATTTTTTACTGCAAATTTCAGTTTTGTTATAAACAATTGATGAAATTTTTTAAATGCAAGAAGGATATTTCTGGTGAGCAAGTTTTACATTTTATAATTTTAGAAGTCTGTATTTTTAATGTAATATGGCTTTAGGAATTTGTAATTTTAGCATTCTATAATTTTAGGATTTTTTTTATAGATTTTATAATTTTATATTTTTAACATTCCATGATTTTACAATTCTATAACTTTATAATTTTAAGGCTGCATATTCTTAAACTCCCACAATTTTAAAATAGTGACAAAATAAAAAATTTAATTCTTGTACCGTTTTTTGAAAATTATACAAAAATTTAGGGGTTGAATATTTGGATCTAGGGCTTTGTGTTAATATTTGAATTTTGGATGACAGAAGGTGAGTATGTTCGAAGGTACATTCCTGAGGCCGTCTATTGCGTAGTACTAGCTACGCACACCAGCCTAGGTCAACCGTGCGTGGTGGGATGCCCTCGGTTTACCCTTCCTCAACCCCTTTTTATTTGTACGATTGCGTTTAGTGTTGTTTAGTTATGAAAATACTTACACTTGCAGGTGTTTCATTTAGAAATTTCACTACAATTTACCTTCACCCGAATTTCTTTGAATTTGGGGAACTTCGATGAATTGTGCGATATATCGAGTGGAAATAAACGTATCTCAAGTATATGTTACCGTGAAAGACCGAAATCTGGCGAATGTCGACATTCACATAGTCGCTTGGTGTATATCCGAAATATTTGCTAAATAGCTTTATTTCTGACTTACACCGGTGAATGTCGACATTCACCATGCACTAATGGTGAATGTTGAACATGTCGG